ATTTTTATGATTAGTTCCTCTCAGTCTCATTGGACTTTTTGTCACGTGCAACTATTACATTAAAATATTAAGCAATGTGAGGGGCACCAACTGACATTTTTCCGAGCCTTGCCTGTATTTCAATGAGTCTGAAGTGCTGTTTTTGCTACCACATCTCTTTCATCATTGTAACAGCCTGATGTCAAACCCTATTTTACAAGAGGGAAACAATCTCAGGGAATGTCAGAGGCCTGGCTGGCCCTGCTGCTGTACAGCCACATTAATGCAGTTGTGCCTCGCCTTTTCCAGTTCCCAAAGCCACACTCGGTCCCATAGCCGACGCTGTTGCGACTTTCATCTCTCTGAAGGAACCACATGGATCAGACAGCAACTTGGAAACAACTTCTCACAACCCTTGGGAGTACTGGTAGACCCATCCCAGGGTTCACTCCCACACCCTCGTGAGTCTCAGGTGAAGCTGGGTGCTGAGAAGTGTGGTGGCTGCGCCACCTCCCCCAGAACAGCTCTTTGAGGTTCACCTTCCCCTCTAGTCAGGATGCTCGCTCCCCACTGGGGAGAGTTCTTGCTCTCACCCACTTCCTAGAGACTCACATTTAGGGACATGGGCGAATGTCTGGCAGACGTAAAATAGCAGGTTGATATCCTAAAAGTGTTACAAGTCCTGAGAGTCAGGGCTGGTTTCAAACGACTCTCTGGCATGGTCGTTTTAAGCACACAGCTCTGCTTAATAGGGAGGATTGTAGGAGTAAGTCCAGTCCCTGCACCCAGGAAGCTCCATGCTGGGGGTTTTGGAGGACAATTAGCAAATCAGCAGGCCAAGAAGCGATGCGGCAGGCACACAGGCATGGCAGAGACATAAAGTAAACTGTTCTGATGGCGTGACCGTGGCCACTTCAGCTCAGGTCCTCAGGGAAGGGCTTCTGAGGAGATGATATTTATCTAAATGACAAGAATGACAAATATGTCCCTAGGAGCTACTGTCCTGAAAAGCAAAGGCAGGTTTGTTTGGCGTGGTCCAGTTCTCGCTCCGTTTCTACTCCCAGCCACCCTTTACTGACAATGTGATGTTCTAACACCTGAAGGGAGGGATGGAAAGGGTCACTGAAATCTTCTTCATGCCATCATTTTAGGCCAGAGCAAAGAAAGACCCAGGAAGTGAATAACAACAACAGAAAGATCTGAAAACAGAGTGAGTGGTTGGCATAGAAGTTCCCATCAGTAACCGGAAGTGGAGCATTCCGGCTCTTAGCCCTGGTCTCTTCTACAAAAGTCCTTCCACGAATTGGATGCTTGTCCTGCTCTTCTCCCTCCACCCCTCTCTCCTCTCTCCAGGCTGCCTCCTGAGAAGCCCACAACAGATACTATCTCTCTTGGAGCAACCTTCTGGAGTGGTATCAGGCGTCTGGAGAGTTCAGAAGAGCAGGGGTGGGGGATGGGGAAGGATAGCTTTGTAGCCTATGGGCAACCACATCCCATCCCAGACATTTCCCAGAGCTGTGCCTGGTTCCTGGCATCCCTCTACTTCCACAAGTGAGTCCAGAGAAGGGCTTTGGGGAGCTTCCAGACTCTGGGAACTCAGAGATCATTCCTAAACACTCCTTTCTGATCAGCCATGTTGATAGGAAGCTGTTGGAATTTCTGATCCCAACTCCTCTGAAAATGCTTGACAAAATGAATCCTAGATTCTTAAAACTGTGGGCCATGATCTTCTAAGAGGTTGCATAACTTTAAAATATTTTATTTCATTCATTTATTTATGTTATTTATTTTTTGGTTTGGGGGTCACACTGATAGTGCTCAGGGATTACTTCTGGTTCTGTGCTCAAGGATCACTCCTGGTGGACTTGGGAACCATTTGGGGTCCTGGGAGTCAAAACTGGCTCAGCAGTATACAAAGCAAATGCCTTACCTATTGTACTATTGCTTGGCCCCAAAACATTTATTTAAAGAAAATTCTTTATGAATTCTTATTAAGTGATATTTGGTTTATATGCCTATTTCAGATGCCTAGATACTTGGGGTCATGTGAAAATTTCTGTGATAAAAGAGGTCACAAGTGAAACAATTCAGGGAGTTCTGCTCTAAATAACAAATTCACTTAGTACATTGAAATATGTTCTCTGGAGGCAGGGGTAGAACACATCCCTTGAATATGATTCCATTCATGCCACTGCAAGGTCCCCTCCAGTTCCTTCAGGTGTGCCTTAATCCATACCCGGCTCTAGCGCAACCACGTATGATCTCCAAATCAATAATCAATACAGAAAAAAAATGTAACCTATGGAATTCAACCTTAATGCATTTTCTCTTCCAAGCCCCAAACAGCTATTGTATCAAGTGCAAAAGTTTTTACTTGGATTCTTCGTGACAAGACTGAGCATTGTACAAGGATTCTCATTCATCCACAAACCAAGTCAACCACATTATACAACACATTCTTCCTGCCTCCTGTGGGGACGCACCATAGAGACCTAGCGCCTGCTCTCTGGAAACAGCATGCAAACGTCTCTAACTGCTGCAGATGTGGCAGATGTGGTCAGAGAGTCAGGGGCTGGGGGGAGAGAGAGAGAGAGAGAGAGAGAGAGAGAGAGAGAGAGAGAGAGAGAGAGGCTATATCCTGGTTAAAGGTAAGGAGGGGAGAGGGTAGCATTATTTTAACTAAGTTTGGAAGGAGAGTTAGCTATGGGTAACCATCATAGGAAAGGAGGCATCAGTGATGCCGAATGGGGCACATTCTCAGGACAGGGGGTGAGGCGTCTGGTAGCTTCAGGGGATACGGGACACAGAGGGAAAGAGAAGGCAGTCCTAGGGAGGTAGACCTGACCTTCCAAAGCAAGAAGAGATAAAGGTTGGCATGATCCGACATGTCATGATGCTCTGAGCAGTTCTTCAGCTGAGAAAGCACATCATTAGAACTGTGTCTGAAGAAGCTGGCTGCCAGGTCAAAGGTGGTCATTGGGGACAGGGCAGCCCAATTAAAAATCCATTGTCTACTTCCCAGATTACATAAAAAGTCAAGAATAAATCTAAGCACGAGGGTGGAAGCACACTGGATAAGAAGGGAAGGCTGGGGGCGGGAGAAATAGTATAGTGGGTAGGGCACTTGCCTTGCCTAAGGCCAACTGAGGTTTAATTCCATATAGTTCCCCGAATCTGCCAGGAGAGATTCCTGAGTGCAGAGCCAGGAGCAAGTCCTGAGCACTGCCAGGTGTGGGCCATTTGGAAAGGTCTCATTTTAGAAAGAGCAGACAGCCATGGACTTTGGCATCCAGCCTCAGGAAAATAAAGTCTACAGAAGTGACGGTCAGTGGTATTTAGAAGGACACTATCAAGCTGCTCCTGCCTGGAGAGAGGAAGCAGGAGCTGAATGCATCAAAGCGACCCTATTTGGACACCTGATTCACGGGTGAGACCTAAGCATTACAAAGTCCTCTCCCAGAGACACAGGGATGGTAGGTACAAGGATCTCAGAGAATGTCTTAATTATTTCTGAAGCAGAAGTAGAGCAGCTTTAGAGGTGAGAAACAAGGGCCACAGGAACAACCACATCTGCACAGCAGCTATCTCACTGGACAGCGGGGAAGGGCCTTCATGGAGGGCACCAGGCTTCAGACCAGGCTTAGAGCTTTCAGGGTATAAGGAGCTACATGACACATGGACCTTTTGGTTTGCAGGACAGGGCCCTGGCATCTCCCATCTCAGCCCCATGCCCCTTCCAGCCACACCAAGCCTCCAGGCCAGCATTCTCTGCAAGCAGGACAGTGAATTTTAAAAAGTTTTAGAGGAGGGATGTAGGGATATGGTTCAGGGGCACAGCATGTGCCTCTGAGGTGTGATCCCCATTGCTGCGAAATCATTTCTCTCCTGCCTCCATTCCTGCCTTCTCTTTCTGGAACTCTATAGCATGGTGTCCGCGCTCATGATAGCCTGTTCGGGAAAACTTTTCTCAGCCCACTGCTCCATGCAATCTTCAAACTCATCCAAAACCAGTATTAAATCAAACTGTTTCACAGAATATGATTTTAATGAACACAAGGACCTAGGGGATAAATGCTAGTTTCAACTGAATGAAATTTTCTTTGTCAGTGGACACTTCTGGGGTTTTAAATACTGATATGTTCTGGAACTCTCCAAGAACAGAAGGCACCTAGGCAGACCTTCCCCAACCTGATCCTCAGAACGACTGTGAGAAAAGCATCTCAGGGGTCAACGGCCTATGAGTCTACCTGGAGAATTCACCAGATGGACATATGCTCTGAGTGACACTCATATTTAAGGATCCAGGAATAATAATATTAATAAAAAGGCAATCACTACTGAGAGCTCACTAGGAGGCCAGGCACTCTTCTACTTCCTTTGCAGAGAGCACACCTAATCTTTGTCATATGCCTGTGATATTTGTTCTATCGTGGTCCTCATTCCCACGTTACACAGAGGATGCAGCGGCATGGCAGCACCTTGAGGTCTGACCAGATCAGTTCATGAGCAGGTGAGCAGGGATGTGGGGCCTGGCACTGGAGGGGCTGAAGGGGAACCCACGGAAATGAATTTCCAATAGCAGCCTTGCAGACATGGCCATTGAAAAGCAGACGGAGAATTCAGAATCCTGAATTCTGCCCATGAAGCTTCAATCACAGCAAATCAACCATTTCCTCTTGATCCCTGGGGTTCACAGACCTCCCCTGGGGTGCTGTTCAGGACACAGCTTCCAGATGGAACCATATCATTCATTTTCTCTGCAAACTATACATGTATATCCTTGCATAAAAACCAAGTCAGGAGCATTTAGCACCAGGACATATACACAGCCTGCATGCATCAAGAAAGAATGCCCCTTTCCACCAAGGTGCAGGGAAATGCAGATGCCCACTGGAGAGATTGTCTCTCCCCTGTTCTCAAAGTACCGATCTATAGCATGCCTACTTGGAGACCCAAACCAAGAAACCACTTTTCCTTTCAAGCATTGAAATGACATGAGAATTGTCAAAGGCATGTCCTACCCGCTCCCACTTCCTCTCCTTGTTGAGGAGGATGATCACCAGCTTTGGGTGCATCTGGTAGCCGTCTTCACTGAAGGACAGGTTCCTCCCCTCAAACGTGACATTGATCAGATACCTGCAAAGATCAAAGAAGAGGAAAGTTACCGCCATGAAGAAGGTCTGCCAAGAGCAGGAGAGTGAGGCACACAGACAGGTGAGTGTAGACAGACAGACAAACATCGAGACAAACATCCTGATGATACCTGATACCTTCCATCTCCTGTCTGACTGGACCCTCAGAGTTTCAATGTTCACAGATGGGGATGCATATAAAATTGATAGAATCGTTCACAATGCAGGTGCTAGGTTTGGGTCGATCTGACACTTATGACTGAGCAAATTTGCTAGACTTTGGACATTAGTTTTCCATAACAGGGGTCGGGGGGGAGGGAGATAGAGAAAAGCGGAAGAATAATCAAGAAAACTCCTTTATCAGGCTCAAGAGTCAATAAGGAAATATCCCATGGAACTGGTACATAGTAAACTCTCAGTAAGCATTAACAGTTATTATTCAAAAGAGAAGGTAGATTCAAGGAAGGAGGTGGTGGAGATCAGGAAAGAAGACAGGAAGGGACCCAGGAACCTTTTGACTGAGGGCAATGTGTGGAGCTGAATCTCTCCTCTTTGGACAAGATGCACAAGCTTTGGCATCTTTGCTAGGATCGCAGAGCAGACAGAGAAGAGCTCTGAACTGAGACCAGCAGGCAGGCCTCGAGGACCCGGGGCTGACACACCATGAACTGTGGTCAGAAACAGCCAAGGTGTGGGTCAGAGGGAGGACCCCTGCGCAGAGCGATCCATGCACAAGGGCATGCATGAGCAGAAACACTGGGCATAAGTAGGATCAGACCGATGACACTGGCTTTCTTCTCAATACCTGTCCCCCCAATTCACCCCATTCCCCCTGCCGTCTGCTCCAAGCTGCCAGAGCTCTCTCGTTGGAAATTCCCACCGGCATGCTCATTACAACTGCATTAGTGCAACTGTGCTGCTGGTAATTAATGTCCCTTTACCATAATGGCCCTAGGAGTCGATAATGATTAGCTCCGCATCCACATGACGTGCTGCGCCGGAGCCTGGAGCCTGGTTCTGCTGAAAAGAGCCAAAGGGATATGTGGGCAATGCCAAGAGCGGGAGCGGAAGGCCTGGAAGGTGCGACCTGCTGGCTTCCTGGTACTCTGAGGGAGAGAAGGATGTGTCTGCAGGCAGTTTGGCACAGGTTCCCATTCACTGAAGCAGCCAGACCCTTTCTGGTCCTTCCCATGAGCTTTCGGATAAGTCATGCAGTTGCTTGGATAGGCATCCCGCAGCCTTTATAAAGATGTCTGAACCTTCACCAAGTTGCCTTTGTCACTTGTAGTGCTGCCTGGGCCCATTTAAATCGGCCATACACTGGTGACATGTAGTTCCCCCAAAGTAACCCTCAAAAACTAGAGATCCCTAGAACCTCTAAATTGAAGGACATTCCCAATGAGCCAGTGACCAAGCTGGGTGTCTCACTTCTACGAGAGAGCAGCAGTAGGTTCTTCAGCCCTTTCTGATTGCCCCCAGGCAGAGCGTTTATCACTGTGTCCCCAGCCTTGGGATGGCCATCTCACTCCCCAGGGCAGTTTGTGTCTACCGAGAGCTGCAGTCGGTAGCTCTGTGGGCCTGGATCTAGACAGACATGGTCTAATCTAAGCCTCCACATAGGAGAGCTCTGCCACAAATTAGACCATTTATCATGTATCTCTTCGAAACTCCATTTTAATCTTGGAAGAAACCTTAAGCTCATTTAACTTGATAGATAAGGGAGCTGAAGCACAAAGAGGTCAAATTATTTGTCCAATGTCCCATAGCTAATTTGGAGCAGAAATAACATTTCAAGCCACATTTCCCATCCCATGTTCTCTCTCTCCCACACCATCCCACTTCTCAAAAGCTTGTCAGGATGAACAAACCAGTTCATGTTATCGTATATCAAAGCTTTGTCCCCACTCCCCCTTGATCCTAACTCCATATCATTGGCTTCACTATAAACACTTCCAGAAAGGAAAAGTAATAACATTTCTAATTCAACTCAGACTCCCTCCTCATGGCCTCTTCCATCTCTGCACGTCTCTCCCTTGCTAGCTGTGGGGTGGTATGGGTAACACACCAGAAAATAATATTCAGGTCCCCTAAATAACAACTTCCAAACTCCAACCGAAGTGCCAGACAACTTATTCTTGGGAATACAACCACAAAAGTGTACAGTAAAATGTTTTAAACCAACAAACCTGCATTTAAGCATTCAACATAACTACTAGGGGAAAAAAACATTCTTACTCCAACAGTACTGTGTTCCTTCAAAGAAAGGTAAAGGTAAAGGTAAAGGCCCTCCCGTTGATCGTCGATTTGCTCGAGCGGGCCCAGTAACGTCTCCATTGGAGACCTTGTTGTTACTGTGTCTGGCATATCGAATACTCTCGGTAGCTTGCCGGGCCCTCCGAGAGGGGCGGAGGAATCGAACTCAGGTCGGCCATGTTGGCCGCTTGTAAGGCAAACGCCCTACCCGCTGTGCTATCGCTCCAGACCCATTTCAAAGAAATGAATTTCTGAAAATCTCCATTTGGAGAAAATTTGTGAAACATGCAAGAAAGTTTGTAAGAAAGAAAATGAGTGAAGGGGAAGGAGGAAGAAAGAAAGAAGGATCGAAAAATGTCTGAAGGAAAGGAGTGTTCTCAAACAAAGAGTAAGAGAGACGAGCAAAGACAGAGAAGAAGGGAAGGACGTAGCACAAAAAAAAGGGAAGGAAATAATGAATGAACTGCCTCAAGCACCCTCCTTTTCATCAGACAAAACTGAATAATTTTGACATGGCCAATAACACTGCGGAAGTGTCCATTTCAGGAGACAGTTATAAAAGAGACGCTCCAACAATGGTTTCGGTAGGCAGCAGTATGAGGAATGAACACAAAGATGCTAGAGACGAGCCCTTTGAAGGGTTCAGCATGGAGTTGAGTTCATACTCCAAGAAATTCCAACTTTCAGAAAATAAACCACTTTCATGGCTAATAAAACTGCTCTATAAATTTCTCTAGTTATTCCTGCTCTGGACTCTTCTGATTTTCCCTATAAATTTTTCTCCTTCTGGAATGTTTGCCTTCTCCCAGCTCTACAGGTTCATTTTCTTCTAACCAGGCACTTCACACATATTTTACAGGCATCAAAAAAGAGTAATAAAATTTTATGACAATCTGCAAACTATTCTTCTCCAAAGTATCCTTTAATCATTCAGATCCTTAGCAATATACAGATTAATCATTCACATTGTGTTTCTCAGAGCCATTCTTCATGAGTGCCAACACTTAGTTTTCAGTGATGTGCTGAAAGATACACCGTGCTTTGAACTAGGACATGCTTTCTGGGCAGAGAGAGAAAACAGGAGCTAAGGGACTTGCCTTCCATGAGATTAATCCCAGTTCAATCTCGGCACTGCATGGTCCTCAGAACAAGGCTGGGAGTGAGAAGCAAGCACAAAGCTAGGAGTCACCCCTGAGCACTGCTGGGTATGACCACATGCTTCCACCCACCTACCCCAAATGATACCCTTTCAACAACAAAACAAAATGATCTATTCATCATTAAAGTGTGCACACATCATGGGGTATATAGTCTCTTATAGGCATGTTTTCTTGGCACCCAAGTCTCAATTTCCCCTCTGTAGAATGGACACAACACTTTATCTCCAGGTCATCAGATAAGGTGGTTGTGAATATCAAATGAAAAAGCACATGGAAAAATAATCTACAACATGCTACAGAAGTGAGTCAAGGGATTGACTATGAAAATGGATAAAAACTGCACTTTTGCCAGTGATTCTGAGGTAGAATAATTCAGTTCTTGTGTTTTCATGCTCTGCACTTGAAATTCATACTCATAGGTACCAATGTTACCATAGCAAAATTTATTTTAAAAATCTTTGCATAAATTGAAGGTTATGTAAAAGAAAGGCTCACGAAGAGGATATATTCTGTGGGAAAGAGATATACAATTTGAGTTTCCAAAGGCCAGGGCTAGCATCATTTCGCATGTCAGTGAGTGAAAATGTAAGGCCTATATTTTAATAAGATCCACCATCAGGGAACTCACCGAGGCTGGAGACTGCGCTCAACACGCAAAGGATGAACTAGGTCAAATGATCCTATTAATCATGTCAACCCTCCATAAGAGCAGAGAATAGCCACGTGCCTTTGGATACCGCTGCATGTTGCACACTTTGGAGATTAAAATCGCAGGAAAGGATGAAACTACCGCTGAGATCACAAGATACCATGGATTCTCTGTCTTTCTCTATATATATGGTTCTCAAGTCTGTGACCAGAAAATGAAGCTTCAAGTGGTTACCAAGATTCTGTGCTTCTGGAAGGCCCACCAAGGTGTATTATATTAAAAAAAAATAAGAAGAAGAAAAGAAAAAAAAATTGTTTCTGGGATGCAGATATTCCCATAATAAACCAAAACTGCAAAGCTCACAAAGTGCTAGTATCACCAACAATCCCAGATTCTAAACCTGGAAGAAAATGTGAAACTATCCAGTGGTAATTCTCATTAAAAAAGGAAACAGGTGTGAAATGCTAATGAACCTTGCCTCTTTGATGAACCTTGCCTCTTTGGGGCTGGTGTTCAAATCTTCTGAAATTTTCCTTCGCTGGAGCAATCATCCCCTGGAGAGAAAGGAGTCTGCAGGGCCCCGGAGGTACCTTTGCTGTCCACTCCCTGCCCATCCTCCCCCACACTCCCACATGCAAAACCATCCCCAGATGCAGAAATGCATCTCCATCTCATTGCCAGCTTTATTTCTGTGAAGGAACCTCAGTGTCCCAGTTGACTCAGAGCTAGCACATTTGTCAAATGCCTAGGGGGTCATGGGTCAGGGCAAGGCAAAGCCCTGTACCTCTGACGAGGACCTGGCCACTCAGAATTCACCCAGCACGAACCACATCCTTGGTGAAAGTAGTGATGTAGCAGCTTGCCCTGGGTAGGGGTGTTTGCCAACTCTTCCAGAATGTTCCCAGCAAAACCCTAACCCCACAATACTCACAATCCCCTCTA